ATGATTTGCTGGTTCAGCCAGGTTATAGATTGCATTCATATAACATATACCGTATTGGCCTGAACAGAAGCCTCACTCCCCCCCCCCCCAAATTCTGACCGTGAAAAGTTAAAGTGTGGCTTAAACTCACAACCTTACAAAAATTGGCTTTTGCGGTATCGCTGCTGAAAAAGACATACGGTAAAATGGAACATGTGTGAGTGCCAGCGGAATTTTAAGGGAGCGGCTTATATTTGGGTGCAGCTTATATTCGGGCCAATACGCTAATTTATATAACAGAGTTACATAATGACTCTACCCAGATATAGTTCATGCCAGGGGTGCCAACTTGAATAAAATATTGGTGGGGTAGGTAAGCCATGGGTCACAAGGCACGGCATGCACACGCCATTTGCACGGCAATGCCCATCAACTTTGTGGGGGCCTGGCCCCCTCAAATATTTAATGGGGGGGGGTCGAAGACCCTTCAGCCTAGGCTGCACTCCTGAAACTGTGTGAGATTCATATTCCTTCCTGCATTGATATGCAGATTGTAATGCATGCTCTTATATCTCACAATGCAAAAGGGATCGTTCCGGATACTTTGCATCCCGATGCCTCTAATTTGTTTAAAATTGTTTCCCCCTCAAAAGCAATCTTTAATCAATAGCACTGGTATTGTCAAAATACCAGTGTCAAAGGTCAGAGGTGGGTGGGGCCAGAGGCAAAATTTGGCGGAGCAATGGCTGCAACAACATACAGTGGTACCTTGGTTTACGGACTTAATCCGTTCCAGAATTCCGTTCTTAAACCAAAACTGTTCTTAAACTGAGAGACGCTTTCCCTAATGAGGCCTCCCACCGCCGGTGCCTTTCCACCGTTTGGATTCCGTTCTTAGACGGAGGTAAAGTTCTCAAACGGGGACACTATTTCCAATTTTGCGGAGTTTGTAAACCGAATTGTACTTAAACTGGACTGTTCTTAAACCGAGGTACCACTGTACTACAAACTCACACACCCTTCTTTCATCTCCCATCCAGGCAAGCAAAGAAGCATTACGGTATAGTCCGAAAGGTGAAGTGTTGTTAAAGGTATCTTACAGAGAGTATTTTAATAATAATAATAGGTAAGGGGACCCCTGACCATTAGGTCCAGTCATGGCCGACTCTGGGGTTGCGGCGCTCATCTCGCTTTATTGGCTGAGGGAGCCGGTGTACAGCTTCCAGGTCATGTGGCCAGCATGACTAAGCCACTTCTGGTGAACCAGAGCAGCGCACGGAAACGCCATTTACCTTCCCACTGGAGCGGTACCTATTTATCTACTTGCACTTTGACGTGCTTTCGAACTGCTAGGTTGGCAGGAGCAGGGACTGAGCAACAGGAGCTCAGCAAGGTCGCGGGATTCGAACCGCCGACCTTCTGATCGGCAAGTCCTAGGCTCTGTGGTTTAACTCACAGCACCACCCGCATCCCTTAATAATATAATAGGCAGCTAATCCAAGCGATTTCAGACTCACCCTTCTTTTTCAAAGTAAGTTTGTTGTCACTGTTCTGCAGAAAAGTTTCGGAATGGTTTAAGAAGCCTTGGATCTGGCATCTGGTAATCAGGGAACATGGATATCCTTGGGGATGGGAGAGAGGATGGGGGGATTTGTTGCCTCTCCCCCAGACATCCAGCTTTATTTCTTTTTTTATTTCTACCACCTGATATACACTGCAAAATGCAGTCACAATTAATCTCATTTCTTTTTTGTTTGGTGGAATCTAGACACACATTTTTAAAAAGCCTTTTTAAAAAGCCTTTTGGAAAATATATTGCATTTGCCATAAGCTCACCATCACCATCTAGTGTCAGATTTGCATAATGCACTTGAAATGCACCTAAAGCGTTATATTTGCAGCTGTATTGCCGAGTCCTTTGGGAGAAACTACCGTATTGGCCCAAATATAGGCCGCACCCGCAAATAAGCCACACCTTTAAAACTCAGCGGCTTGGGGGAGGCTTGGGAGCCACGGACGGGGTGGGCGTCATTGCCCCACGCTCCCGGGCTGCTTCGCTGGCGGCATAAGGTTGCAAATATAAGCAGCACTTTAACTTTTCACAATTGGAATGCGAGGTGGGGGGGTGGCTTATATTCGGGCCAATACGGTAGGCAGCTCCCCACTCCAGAAAAATTCCCTGCAGAGAACCATGTCGAAGTGCCCAGTGCTGTAGCTCCTAACCCTTCAGTGCGCTCACAGTAGCTCTTCCTTCCTATCGCTGTAGTTTAAATATTCTGCAGTCTGTTAAATGTCCATACTGTAATCAGGATAAACACAGCGCAAAAGCAGAATTTGAGTTTCCTTGTCGTTGGAATATATGTGTGTTTTGTTTTGGGGCCAGAACACAATCAGCCAGCCCTCATCCGAGAACATTCACTTTATTCCAAAATGCAGCAATCGTCTTGGCAGCTGTAATAGAACCACTAATTGACTTAACTTACAATCTGCTGCCTGTGATGTCACCTAATGGATGCCCAGAGTCACTGACTCATACCAGGTAGCCAGACCAGAACACAAAACAAGGGAGGCAAGCTTTGCCCAAGAAAAACGACTTCATTGCCAGGCTTCAGCCCTGGAATATGCGAAACGTGACTTTTGAGTATGTACAGAGTGCCTTTCTATTACCACCAAGGAACCACAACCAGCTCACACCTGTCTTGTCTGGCAGACATGACCTGTATAAATAATTATTAAAAAACCAAAAAAAAACAACCCTCTGCTCAGCTGGAAAGTTGTCTCATCTACCTGACAGGGCTGTTGTGAGAAGATGAGTTCAGTCTCTGCCACCCTATGCTCCCTGGATGAAGGCCAAGATACAAATAAAATTCTCTTCAGCTCAGCCGTTTTCTTACGAGTCCAAATAAATTTCGGAAATCTGGGGTTGAAATCCCATGCGCAACTGGGAGTAACTTAGGGGTGCTTGCTTCTGAACGGATACACTGTAAGCTAAGCAGTTGTGTTTCAGAGTCCCTCTCGTGTCTTTGACTTACCGCTAGCAGAATCTGATTTTTCTCCAGAGGCCCTTCCAGAAAACCTAGATCAATCAGGTCCTCTTGACAACCACCCCTTATTTCAAGCTGTGCTTGGGATGGTCCTCCCTCCCTCCTCTTGGTTTGACCACCCATAAATCAAGCAGCACTCACCTGGGTCTGCTGCTGACTCCTCTGCGCTGCAAGGCCCAGGGCTGAGGAGCACAAGCGGTTCAGGGTTGCTCCAGCTCCGAGTAGCACAGTCAGTCCAGAGGAACGATCCAGGCTCCTTCACTAAGATTTGCCTGCGTTTGCATCTTGCCTTTATATCAGCTGCCTGGGCCAATCAGAGCTGGCCTAGCCCAGCAGCATGGATTAGTTTAGGGAAAATATCTTTTATTTGTTTCTGACAAAAGGAGACTCCCAAGTCTGTTTCTCTTCTCCGCATGCACTCCACCCATGTCCACTACACCCATTTCCCATTGATTTTTCTAAAGTGCAGCGCTGCATCAATAATGCAAAGAAATGGGGGCAGGAGATGGGGATCTAACCACATTAGAGTGGCTTGCTCGGAACCGAGGAGGAGAGGAATGCTGGGGGGAGAGGCAATGGCTTTGCCCTTCAGAGAGAAGGGTTGTCCGCCAGGGATGATCTCGATACTTCTGAGGTCTCCAGCAAATCTTTAAATGGTGCATTGGATATCAAGTGGGGTGGCGGCTTTCGGGCATCAAAGGAGCTTCTCCAAGGCAAGGCTGGCCTCAGAGAGTGGGGCAGTCAGTCAAGGAAGACAAAAGGACCACTGGCAGGGAGAATTCCACATGTCCCACCTTGCTCTCAGGTGAAGGGCGGCTGTCTTGCCTGGGCCTACTCCTGCCCCCAAAATATAAAACCCGGAGCAGTCAAGCCTTGTGATCACCAACCAAGTCCTGCAGTTGGTTTTGCACATGGAGTCCATCGGTTGGTACTGTGTTTTTCGCTCCATAAGACACACTTTTTTCCTCCTAAAACGTATGGGGAAATGTCTGTGCGTCTTTTGGGGTGAATGTGTGGTCGATCGTTGGCTCCCTTTCTGCCCCCGCCCCCTTGCCCAGGTCTCCATTGTTGAATGTTCTGCAGACCAAGGCTGTTTTCCCCAGTGACATGATTAGATTATCTGTCTAGAAATGGTGCCCTTTCCTTTCCTAAAGAAGCTAAAGAACTATGAGTTGAGCCCCATGAAAACAGGATTTTTTCCCTTTGCAAAGTAAGCTCAACAACTTCGAGCTGATCCCCCCAAAAGGGGGCTTTTCCCCTTTGCAAAAGAAGCTGCACAACTTTGAGCTGATTGCCCCAAAAACAAGGCTTTCCCCCTTTCCTCCTCTAAAAACTAGGTGCGTCTTATGGTCAGGTGCGTCTTTTGGAGCGAAAAATACGGTAAGCGAAAAATCAAGGGATGAAGTCGGGGGAGAGCAAACCTTCACAGTTCATAGATGAAGCTGCTAGATCCCGTTCCCATCAGTTATCCCTCCTCTGAATTCTAAAAATTAAAATGCTTTCTGCTTCTCTCCACACACCCCTTCACTTCCCCCCAGGGTAGTCTTATCCATGTTTTTGGATTATAGCACTCAGTAACTTTTAACAAATGACTCAAATCCCTCCAGTGAAATGTAATTGTCCATAGCTCTCCACCCCCAACGCTGACTACCCTCTAGCTCTGATAGCTCCTGCATCACTTGATTTCTCATTTCGTAAAGGGCGGCAAATATGCAAATTTGCTTTCCAAGGACAAGAACTGCATTGAGATGCTCCTAAGCTCCCTTTGTGGCTCCTAGGCTCTCACCTGTTATTCCAGTTGTCATGTGTCAACCAGCCTTGTCTGCGGCGCTTGCAGAGCTAGATTCTTTTCTGCAGCCGGGGGAAGGAAGTTTTACCTCCCGAAATTTTGCCGCCCAGCTTCAAAAGAATATTGCATTAGACCTCCAGAACCCACTCTGCTCAAAGACATAGGAAAAAGAGGAGACACACACCTGCTCTCTTTTATTATTTCTTTAATTTGCAGTTAATACAAAGATTCCAAAAATAGAAAGAGATCGAAATGGCAGCAGTGCCGGCTTCAAGTTTTGGGATATCTTTTTTTTTTTTTCAATTAAAACAAAATTTAAAAAAAAGAAAAACCACCCAGCAAGTGAGGACACATGACTAAGGCAACTGATGTTTTCATACTTCTATGAGGTGGGGACAGAAGGGGGAAGCCCTGGGCTCTGTTACTCAAAAGCCACCAGCTATGCATGTTTGAAAAGAAGGGATGCAGGGGGTACAGCAAAAGACTCTCTCTCTGTGTGTGTGTGTGTGTGTGTGTGTGTTTGCTTTTGTAGGAGGCGTATGCAGGGCACCTCTAAAAGGCACACCCCTGATTAAGTATTAGGCTGCCTCTTCGATGGGTTTGATCAAGGCACAATCCCAACATTGGCAATTGGACTCAGGTTATCATCATGGCTATTAAACAGGCCAAGGAAGCCCGATGCAGAGTGAGAACGGGCATCAGCAGACTCCGCCCTCGAGTTAATTCACACAGCCAAGCTTGTTCCAGATGGGAGCCATCACTTGGCAGACTCTGTAGTTCCACATTACTTTCAACAAGCAAGCGTTCGCAGCTTGTTGAAACTGGGAGTGCTCGGTTTAATTTATCATGTGTCGGCCTCCTTAGCCAAAACCAGCTCCGCACAGATCCCACCACGCTGTGACTGACAAAACTTCCACCCGTTTGCCCAAATCTTAAGTCCCGTGACTGGGACGGAGGAGAAATCTGGAGCACATTTCATCAGCCGAGGTGGAGGAGTGTAGAAAATAGGAGTGCAACGTTTTCCCATCGAGTGAAGGGGTTTCGGAGCTGAGCTGAGCAAAGGACAAAAGCGGGCAGGTTGCGTGAGGAGGAGAGGGAGGGAAATGGAGGTGAGTTCTCCTCGGATGACACAAAGGGCAAAGACACAACTGCGAGGATAGCCTCAAACAGGAAGGAAAAACAAAGGGTTTTTGTTCTTTCTAGCACACATTAACTTCGCAGTGTTTAAAGCTCTCTCACTGTTGTGTGTCGTGGGGAAAACAGAATTACGAAGAGAAGAAACTCTTCCCTCCACGAAGCTAGGGACTTGTGTGTCACCTCCATTACCACAGCTGCTGAGGCAAAGAGAGTAACGCCTCATAGTGGAAGCAAGGCCAGCAAGAGGAGGAAAGAGAAGTCGCAGCCGCAAGCTCGTCTCAAGCACCATTTGAAGGCCTAGCGCACACACACACATATACACACACAGGTGAAGGAGTGGCCAATTCAGCGCACTTAAAAAAAGGGCAACGGAAATTCAAGAAGCACTTTGGCCAGGCTAAGAGCTGCCTGCTCACTCAGCCAACAAGAAGGATTGTAAAGCTTTGGTCCTGTTGAGCAGGGAGAAAGCCTTCCAGATGTTGTTGGGCCCCACCAGCCACTCCGGACAACTGTCAGGGGCGATGAGAGTCCTAAGTCCAGCAACATCTGGATGGGCCACAGGTTCCTCACCCCTGGTTTTGCTGTTTAGCTTCCTGCCCCAGGTGGTGAGGTGACCCACGCTACCTGCCCCCGCCCTGCGTCCAAACCAAGGAGGCAGCACCAGAAAGAAACAAAAAGAACCCTGAATGGCCCCATCCTGCCCCCACCCCCCACAACGGCGAAGCATGGAGTCACTTGCAATGTATTGCTTATGGGAGCGGGAGGGAGAGAAGCAAGCTGGCTGAGCAGAAGGTATTTGGTTGCCACCAATGGCACTTCGAAAGCACTTGTTCACAGCACGTTAAGAGACATGACTAGGAAAGGCAGCGTACCATATTGCTGGGGGGAGGCGCAGAAAGGGAGGGGGCGGCGGCCGCTCCCAAGTAATATCGACATCTACGTTTGGTTTCTCGAGAGCTGACGCCGCCATGAAAATGCTGAGGGGAAGAGTGTGGCAAAAAGGCCCAGCTGCTTCTCTGGGGCTCGTTTCCTAAGAAAGGCTGGCAGAAAAGAGAGGCGCTGTCTCTTCAGACGCGCAGCGACGTTCCTCCTCGCTCTCCCAACGAACACGGCAAGGCAATGGAGCAGGCCGTCCCCTGCCCACCCCCAGCTTCTAACACGCTAGTCCATGATTCCCTGAGGCCACCCGAGGGGCCGGGCTTTTCAAGTTACGGCGATGGAGCCTAGGACGAGTCCTGAGTGGGAAAGGCAGGGCGCCTCTTGTGGCACCCGCCCCCAGAAAGCCACCCACGGGCAAAACGTCAGCACCCTCCTGTCCTTCAAAGCTAGCAATTCGCACTGAAGGAGGGTGGGAGAACTGACAGTGCTGAGGCAGGTTTATAGTAACCCTGTGACCTGGTCTGTGTGTCCCCAACACCCCACCCAAGAAGCAAAAATAGGCCAGAGCGAAGCAATATGGCGATCACTGCAGCATCGGTCCTCAACCAATGTGGAGTTTGTGGGAATGGGCCGGCTGACTTAGCCTTAGTCCTTTTCTACGCTCGTGCCACTGTTTTGTTTGTTTTAACGTTCGAGGGTTTCTGAAAGGGTTCCTTCCCCTCTGGGGTTGAACCCAAACCACAAGACACAGTATAAAAAGAAGTTAAAGGCTTCCCAAAAGCCAACAGGATAATTAGGGACCAAGACCCCTGAAACTGCGGGTTCACTACTGCTCTGAAGGGGAAACGCAGGAAGGGAATAGGAAAAAAGGAAAAAGTCCTCATAAAAAAATAAGACTTTCCCCCCTCTCTCTAACCAGGTATCCAAGGTAAGGAAAGCCTCTCCTCCAAGGAATCCAGTGGCCTGAGCATCTGAAGGAGAGGATCCCTCTGAAAGACACCTGGCTAGAACACCTGGCTAGGAGTATTGGGCAGTGCTCTGCCCTGCCCTGCCTTGCCTGGGAGATAAGGCGGCAAAACTGCTAGGCCCCATGGCTGTGCCCCAGGTCCTGGGTGAGCAGCACTCTCAGGAGCATCTAAAAGGGAGCGAGGAGGCAGGTAGCTTTTTTAATAACAAAAGAAAAAGGGTCAGCCAAATCTTTTGGCCTTGCTTTAGAGGAGGAGAGAAGAGGGTAGGCAGGGGGAACCGGCAGCTTACACCGCACAAACCACACCCAGAACTAACCACCCTGCAGCGAATGGAGGAAGCCGAGCCCTGGGGAAATGCTGCGTCTTCACAATGCTCCCTGTATCCTCGCAGTGCATAGATACGAGCGCTGTTGGGGACGGGGTCTGGGGCGACCCTGCTTTTGGAGGAAAGGCCAGAGGCTCTGGGATCCCGCCAGACCCTGCTTGGAAACTGCTCTGGCGCTGCCCGTTCAGGTTATTGCCTCCAAAGTGCTTGCATCTGCCTTGCGGTGGGGTTGCGGAGAACCATCCCCACGGCTCCCCCTTCCCCTCCAGGCCAGGACTGAAGGCACTGAGTGAAAATGTTCCTCTGTGGGCATAGGAAGGCCTTAGGGTGCCCTCAGCTGGCCAAGGCTGGTGTAGACATCCTCCGCTTCGCTCAGCTCCTCAAAGATCGGGATCAGGTTCAGCAGTTCGGTGTCGGCCATGTCATCAAACCAGGACTGGACCGGCACCTACGGGGAAACCGGAAAGGGCAAGGAGAAGTCAGTCGGGAGCACTGCGGTGCATGTAGACAGGAAGCAGAGACCTAATGCTTTTTGGGAAATTGTAAGGAACCAGGAAGACCCAGGAAGCCGAATTCAAACGCTGCAGTAATCACTTGGCTATTAATATGAAACATGGCGACATCCCCTCAGAAGAGACAGATTTGCCCTCACATCAGGCGCGCATATATATATATACTCCATGTATTTAAAGAGCTTTGGAAAGTATTCGGGCGAATATTCAAAATACAGTGACAATACAAGACTTAAGTTTTTAAACAGGGTGCACGAAAGGTAATCGTTGTAGACAAAACTAGTCACACCAATACTAACTGCTCACTCACTCCTACAATTATGGCCACAGCTATGAATTGTCACCTGGGAAACCTTGCAGATGTGCTCTGTTGGATGGGTTTGGAAGAATATTTCATGCGCTGGAGAACTTTTGGGGTTGAGTTTGCTGGAGTCGTGAGAAAAGGGAGGAAAAAAGAAGATTTGAAGGGGAAATGGTGTGGTACAGTCAGCCTCCCTGAGTATTTACCACTTCAGGGGTGTGTGTGTGTGTGTGTGAGAGAGAGAGAGAGAGAGAACACATGTTTTGAATGGCCCTACCTAGCACACAAGTGTCGCAGTCAGCACCATCTTAAAAGGCAGGGGTGAGAAACAAAGGAGAATGCTTTATTTAAGAGAGCTTCTTTCACCTGGTGCCGATGTAACTATTATTATTTTCTTTCCAACTAAAACCAGATCAAAAGATTTTTAAACCAGTCAACCAACCTACCTACCTACCTACCTACCAAGAAGTCAAGTCTTACACATGATTTAAAGAGCCTTTGCTGCTTTCCTGCCAAGGTAAGTCAAATGTCAACACCAGCTACTACTGACTAACCACACCTACCCACCCCTCCGGAAGGCAGGCTCACCGCATTCTCTGGATGGAAGATGTAGGAGGCAGGGGAATTGTCCAGGATCAAGGTTTTGCGCAGATCACGCCCCAGACGGCTGAGGTCCTTCACGTAACAGCCCTGGTGGAACACGCATGACTCTCGGAAGAGGCGGGCTCGGAAGACTCCACACTTGTCTAGCAGGTCCGTTACGGGGTCAGCATACTGAACAGAGTGATAAGCGGAGTGTGTGAAGACTGGGGCTCAGCATAAGAAAGCAAGTAACCCAACATGGGGGAATCAGGAGAACATGCAGGGCTCTGCCCACTTCTGGCCAGATAGTGCAAACATGGAATTTGGAATCTGGAATTCATTCATTCATTCATTCATTTAAAGTTTCAAGTTCCTATGGATTTGGAGATCTCAGCGATGCCCAATGCAATTTCAGAAGCCACCAAGGGGCGGAGCAGAACTTCCAGAGGTCAGTTAGTGGTGGAGATTTGAATACTCTGCATGGTCCTTCACTCTTCCTCACAGTTAGGAGACACAAAAACAAACAACTATATGCAAACCTGACATTTTTCACCATTTATTCAAGTACCAATAGGCCAAGTGTTTCTTGCTGCAGCATTTGGGTTTTGAAAAATGCACACAGCTCTGAAGTTTCGGCAAATACTCCAAGTTTAGCCCAAGTCAAAGCTGCTCCCAAACCAGTCTTCTAGCAAGACAGAGAGAGCGAATCGTCTATATTCACCTCCAGTTTATCTTCTGAGCTGAAAGTGACACAGCACACCATTGCCACCCTTTCTGCCTTAGCTTCTGCTGCCTTTGAAAGTATCAACCAATTCTCCCAGCCCATGTCTAGGCTAAACCCTCCTCCTCCTCCTCACCTTCGCCAAGCTGGCAGTGAAGAGCACACACTCAAACAGCTCCCCCATCCGCCTCAGGAACTCATCGACAAATGGCCTCTTCAGCACGTACACCTAGAAGTGAGCAGCAGAGGTGAGGAATGACACAGAGGGACTACTCGTCTTATTTATCTACAACCCGCCTTACAGCTGGAGTGAACAAGCTACTGTGAAAGACCTGGATTCAGTGCTGCGTTGGCCAAAGCACATCACTGCAGGGAACATTTGTAAGGGAGAAGCGATGGGGGGGTGTGTGGAGAGGATTCCCCCTGCTCATTGCTTTTCTCCCATAACCTCCCCCTTACACCAGGCTGCTTCCTCCCTCCCCACTCCCACTTTGTGGAAAGGCAGAGTATCAATAGAACAAACAGGATCCAGCCTCGTGAGCCAACTTTTGACAGGTAGGCAGGACGGCACTATTAGGATCACCAGCAGCGAATCCAAACAGCCACTTCATAGTCTGATGTATATTGGCTAAGAAAGAGACTTCCAAGAGGGGGTGAAAGAGAGTTAAGGCACTGGGGTCTGACTGAGACTTGGCCCTATAAGACTGAAACACTTTTTTGGTCTCTGGCTCTGTGTTCCGGAGGTGCCCACCCTGAGAACTAGCAATGTGCTCATTTCAGAGAGTGTGGCACAAACCCACAACTTCCCAGTGGGTTGCCATTTTAGTCCATTAACCCTTTATCACTGAACAGGACATAAGCTCCACTCCTTTTTGTGTGACATGGCTATCTAAAAAAAGAAGAAAACTGAGGCAAGTAAAAGAATGCCTCCCCTTTAGTGGTGTAATGTGAACAATGGGTTAAATTACTGTGTGCTTGGACTCATTTCTTGAGGAGCACATGTCTGGATGTTCTGAGATAAGGGTACCAGGTTACCATAGCAAAATCAGCTAGGTTGAGTGCCCAAGTCATTCGCCCTCCCATTGCTTCAGGAAATATGAAGTGTGCGTAGAGATGGGTATAACAGTCTCTAGGGCATTGTTTTCATTATGCCGTCTTGTCTTGTCCATGCCCTGTCCTGTTTGCTGTCTGACTCTGAATCTGTGAGAGTCAGGGGAAGAGGCTGTGAGTTTCGCATAGCAGCGTTAGCCAGCATGGTGATATAGCATTATTGGAATTCTCTGTACATATGCATCTTTACTTCAGAGACCAGAAGAGTTGTCTATAGTAGACAGTGCTGTTTAGCTTTGTCTTGTGTCTGTAGATAATGAACACTTTGCTACTTTGAAATGTATGGGAAAGGAGCTTTTCCTTAACTGGGGACTCTGGGGGAAGCTGTTTTGCTGGTTGAGGTGTGGCAAACTACCAGCTGACTTCTTCAAGTCACCAGCATCCTTATTGATGGATAGGGAAACAACTGCCCTTTAGCATGCTGAAAGGTAAAGGTAAAGGGACCCCGCGGATGACTCTGGGGTTGTGGCGCTCATCTCGCTTTACTGGCCAAGGGAGCTGGTGTACAGCTTCTGGGTCATGCGGCCAGCATGACTAAGCCCCTTCTGGCGAACCAGAGCAGCGCACGGAAACACTGTTTACCTTCCTGCCAGAGTGGTACCTATTTATCTACTTGCACTTCGTGCTTGCGACCTGCTAGGTTGGCAGGAGCAGGGACCGAGCAACGGGAGCTCACCCCGTCACAGGGATTTGAACCGTCGACCTTCTGATCAGCAAGCCCTAGGCTCTGTGGTTTAGACCACAGTGCCACCCGTGTCCCCCTTAGCATACTTAAAGGTAAAGGTAAAGGTACCCCTGCCTGTACGGGCCAGTCTTGACAGACTCTGGGGTTGTGCGCCCATCTCACTTAAGAGGCCAGGGGCCAGCGCTGTCCGCAGACACTTCCGGGTCACGTGGCCAGCGTGACAAAGCTGCATCTGGCGAGCCAGCGCAGCACATGGAAACGCCGTTTATCTTCCCGCCAGTAAGCAGTCCCTATTTATCTACTTGCACCTGGGAGTGCTTTCGAACTGCTAGGTTGGCAGGCGCTGGGACTGAGCAACGGGAGCGCACCCCGCCACGGGGATTCGAACCGCCAACCTTTCGATCAGCAAGCCCTAGGAGCTGAGGCTTTTACCCACAGCGCCACCCGCGTCCCCCTTAGCATACTTAGACTACCCCTAATGCATTTTAAATGAATACAAGCTGCCACAGGCACTGTGGTGAACGGAATACATCAAAGAAGCATAAATGCTGCAAAGCACATCAAGATTCCTCAAGGGTTCCCCACCAGTTTCCAGCTGGTCGCTTTTCTCTCTCCCGGAGCTCTCGCTGCCGCGCAGTCGATCCAAGCCATTCCTCCTTAAACATCCGCTGGAAGCAGCTACCTCCTGAAACAAGTAATCAAGAATAGGCCGTGTTGCCTGGTAACAGCCTATCCTGGATTACTTGAACCAGGCCGAAGCCTTCATAGAACGGTCTTCCTCCTCTTCTTTACAGCACCAAAACGGGAGGTGGTCTCCTTGGCTCATAAAATGAGATTGCCCCCTCCCTCTGCTGCCCCACTTCCAGAACAGATGCCAATGAGAACCCAGAACTGTTGACAAGGTGGGTGGGTAGGGGACCTTCCCCCCAGTGGCAGCATCCTTACCTGGTGGGTTGTCCCCTCTATTTCAACAGGCACTATGAAGTCAGCATTGTTGATTGGCTGAGAAATGTTATAAAAGGTGCGTGTTAGTTTTTGGAAGGTAACACAACACAATTCTGCCCCACTTTATCCGTAAGTCGCGCCAATCTCTGCACCTAAGGACACTATCTGATGCTCACTGGGTTTGGCTCGATTTACCAGTACTGAGCCATATGCTTTTAAAATGACAGTCATGTCCACTCAAACTAGTGGCAGGAAGTCTCCGGTTCAATAATTAATAATAATCTGGCGGCTCTGGGCAGCTTCCAACAAAATATTAAAATACAGTGGTCTGTTAAACATTAAAAGCTTCCCTAAACAGGGCTGCCTTCAGATGTCTGGCTGAATGAAGCCCCTCCAAGTCTTTATATCTGGTCTTTTGAGACTTTGCCCAGGCCACATCCATCAATGCCAGGATGCGTGTGTGGAAAACTCAGAGATTTGCGTGGCTGGGGTGTATTCTAGCATACAAAGGCAGGAGTCACATCTGTTGCCCCGTCCACTTTTGCTTCTTCCATGTGGCCCCTGGAAGGCTGCCACAATGGAATGTGGCCCTGCCTGAATCAACAAGGCACCTAATAACAGAATCAAATGATTTGTCAGGGAATCAATCGCTGAGTCCTTCTAACTCCTGTTGCCTGTTCGGTCCCCTGATAGCTTCTTCAGAATTTGCTAATCAGAACCAGAGACGCAAATATTAGAATTTTATTCCAGTGGCAGAGTTTACATGTAGGGGTGAGGTGAGAAGGGTTCAAAGCCACCTTTCCAGGGCAGAAATAGAAACAGTCATGAATACAGTGGTACCCCGCAAGACGAACGCCTCGGAAGACGAAAAACTCGCTAGACGAAGGAGTTTTTCGTTTTCTTAGCCGCTTCGCAAGACGCATTTCCCTATGGGCTTGCTTCGCAAAACAAAGCTTGCCCCGCAAGCTCCGGGGATAGCGGGGAAGCGCAGCGCGCCTTCCCCGCTGTCCCCGGACCTCTTTTGAAGCAAGGGGCAGCGGGGAGAAGATCGCTTCTCCCCGTTGCCAGCCCCGCAATCTCCGGGGACAGAGGGAAAGGCGCGCGCCCCTTCCCCTCTCTCCCCAGACCCCTTTTGAACCAAGGGGCGGCAACGGGGAGAAGCGATTCTCCCCGCTGCCCCTTCCCTTGCTTTAAAACAGGGCCGGGGACAGAGGGGAAGGCGCGCGCACCTTCCCCTCTGTCCCCAGAGATTGCGGGGCAGGCAACGGGGAGAAGCAATCTTCTCCCCGCTGCCCCTTGCTTTAAAACAGGTCCGGGGACAGAGGGGAAGGCGCGCGGCGCTTCCACTCTGTCCCCGGACGGTCTCCCTAGGAACGCATTGATTGATTTTCAATGCATTCCTATGGGAAACCGTGCTTCGCAAGACGAAAAACTCGCAAGAAGAAAAAACTTGCGGAACGAATTAATTTTGTCTTGCGAGGCACCACTGTAAATAGGCTTCCTTCTCCATTCCCCGGAATAATAGCATTGTGTGTCTGGCATGCAGTAGTAACTGGTTGTAGACACAGAACTAATTTATTAAAATAATGGCAGAACCAAGAAGATTCTTCAAAGAAAGCACCACCATGCAAGTGGACCTCATCGACTTAATCTTGCTCTCTTTCCCCCTTGCAGCCTCCTGCAGAGACATCAAAATCAGCTCCCGAAGATTCCACAACCATCTGGAGCAGAATCTGAAGGTGCATGGCATGGCTGTGTGGGTGGCTCTGAGGGGGGGGAAGGGGGAGTCCCATTGAATGAGCAGAAGTTCATTCTGTTGATGTACAGGCTGCACAGGATACAACCCTCTGGGTTTAGAAAACTTCTAACCAGGAAAACAATGAAGTTGAGGTCCTTTTGTTTAACTCCCAAAGCCCCAGTCCTATCCTTCACACTGATATTCCATAAGGCCCTCATCCCTTCATATGCCTTTGCAGCTAGTCCTCTCCTGCACTGTCAGCAATGGAGAACCTGTGGTCCTCCAGGTGTTGCCGGACTACAACTCCCATCAACCCCAACCAGATGGCCAGTGATGATTAGACTTGTAGTCCAGCAACGTCTGGTGGGCTAAGGATGCCTTCTGCCTTCTGCCTCGACCCCTACCCCCCCACTTCTCAGAAAAGGAGGAGTATCCTTAGAACGTCACCTTGAAGGAGCTGTGCACTAAGGTCTCGTCCAGATCAATCACCACACAGATTCGGCCCTGGTCTTGCAGAGTCACCTCAGGGAGAAGGCACGTCCCAGGAATCTAGAAGAAGAGAGGAAAGTTAGCCACCATTGGCATGGTGAATCATGTTGCTGGAGGTATATTTAACAAGCTTCAAAGCACTGGGGAAGCCTGATATGAAGTCCTTCAAAACTTTTCCCATCTTGTGTTTAGAGAACAGCACAGGCAATGCCAACAAGGACTAGAAACCCTATGCAAAAACTTTCAAAGGCTCTGGTCCTCATGAATCTTTCCACGTTTTTGCTAGAACTCTCAATTTTTATTTTTTTTGAAGGGAGGTTTTAAGACTACAGAGCAACTGGCAACCTCTGGTAAGAAAGTTTAGAGTTTGAAATGGCACAGATCAGAATAAAGGGAAGTGTTATTTGGGTTAGTGTGTGTATGTGTGCTTTGCATCGCTTTGTAGGTTGACCAGCAGCAACAGAGAATAAGGCTTCTGTGACTCTTCAACCATTGCACAGAAGAAAGGGATTTGAGAATTATTTGCTCTTCCATACAACCATTAAACGTACAAGAGGCCTGTGCATGAGAGCATTTGACCAGCTATGACCTCAAATGAAGGAACCGGTTATCGTCAAAAGTCACTTGAGCTAATGGCCATCGCTAGACCTCATGGCATTCTTGAAGCTTTCCTGATAATGTGTGTGTGCTTCGGGTAGGGGGAGAATATGGGCTGGCATTTTTATTTCACTGACATGATGTCAATGCTGCAAAAAACTTGCACGCATAACAAAGCACCAATCCTACAATGAACACCTTCCTGGAAGCACCCCCCGTTGACTTATTTAACAATCTCTGTAATGTGGTCCTAATATTTCTTTCCAGAGTAGCCACAGCCAGTTTAAGACCCACCAGCCTACATATGAAAAGGTGGGGTGAGTTGGTGTCGTCCCAACTTTGCACTCCCCTTACTTTGCAAATTTTAACAACAACAAAAATCTCAATACCGTGGTATCTTGGTTCTCAAATGCTTTGGTAATCAAACAACTTGGAACCCAAACACTGCAAATCCAGAAGTGTTTCGGTTTGTGAATTTTTTTCAGAAGCCAAACGTGCTCCGTTTTGAGCGTTATGCTTCCAGTTTGAATGCCACTCTTCCGTTTTGAGTGTTACACTGAGGTCTGTCAGTTTTTGCTTTTTATTTTGCGTTTTTGTGGCTTTTTTGTTTTGTTTTTGTGACTGTGTAGAACTCAGTTCAGCTACTGATTGATTGGTAGTGTGACTGTGTGATTGTTTAATGCTTTCATTTTATGGATCAACGGTCTCGTTTAGATAGTAAAATTCATGTTAAATTGCTGTTTTAGGGGTTGTTTTTAAAAGTCTGGAACGGATTAATCCGTTTTGCATTACTCTCTATGGGAAAGTGCGCCTTGGTTTTGGAACGCTTTGGTTTTGGAATGGACTTCCGGAACGGATTAAGTTTGAGAACCAAGGTACCACTGTACTAACTCCTCTTTTGTTCTAACTGAGGTAAAAAGTCCTTGTTTTGCAGCTTCATCACTACAATTTTGCGCCAGGAGGCATTTTTATAGAAATTGGTCCTACGCCAGGTGGGGACCCTGTTGCTCCCCACATCTTGCAGGACTCAGGCTCCCATTAGCCAACATGGCAAATGTTCAAGAATAATGAGAGGTGCACCCGACAACATCTGGAGAGCCACATGTTCCCTATTTCTGCAATACATCAGCACTGCAGAGGCTACCTATTGCTTTGAACAGACATTTCTTGAAAGGGAAGGATGATTTTTCAAAAACCAACCCCACTGCAAAAGGAGTTGAGCACCTCAGAAATGCATGCACCAGGTCTAGCCCCATGAAAGCCAGCCTGAAACAGAGAGAGGCATGCTGAAAAATTCAAAAACTGAATAAATAAAAATAGCCAACAGGTGGCTAGGGATTCCATTCCCTTCCAAAAGCCTACCATGCCGGTAGGGCAGGCATAGGCAAACGCCGGCCCTCCGAATGTTTGGGACTACAATTCCCATCAATCTGACCACTGGTCCTGTTAGCTAGGGATGATGGGAATTGTAGTCCCAAACATCTGGAGGGCCGGAGTTTGCCTTTGCTGACAATAGGGCAAGCAATATTCTACACAATGGTGCATTTTTATTTTCGTTTGCCCTTGGAAGTTATTGGTATCATGGGGAAAACTGTCTAGACTGCGTGGCAAGATTGTCATGCCTGAGGCTCTTTCCTTGTGGAGGCACCCACCAGAGGGAACTACTTATAGCAATCTCCACATGGCTGACGTTGGAGAGGCAGCTGCCCTGAGAGAGACGTTACAGTGAGGAGGCAGCAGCAATTTGCATTCAGAAGCACTCTGTCTGTTTGTGAAAACTGCGCTGCAATATGGCCTGATGCACCCACCAGCTTAGGCTGCTTCTGCACCGCTGGTGAAATGGGAATGCTGTCGCTGGGCTGCAACCTTTTTCCGATTGCAGGTTCAAGGCCATTAGCCCCTTCACACAGGAAGAGAGCTGTCAAGAAGAGTTGCAGGCCAGCTTTCTCCCAGATGTGCTAGTCTGGTACGTGTAGAAGTCCCCGCTCATTGCGAAACATTCAACCATGTGACTGCTTCTCCTGCTGACCCCAGAAGAAGTCTGGCTCTTCGTATGAATGAGGTCTGCGACCGATACCTCTCTCGATAGCAGCGGGGCAAGAAGAGAAATTTGCTTAGTAAGTGAAGGTCTCTTTTCTCCCACACTCACAAACACAAATACCCACATGCACATGTGCACACACATATGTAGGCAGGACTGTGTGTACATTGTGCACCCATCATTATGCCATGCAGAAGTAGAATTTGGTGTCTAGAGCATCATTTGGCATATTTCGTACGCTGCCTGGAGGCATGTAGGTGGAAGGCACTTTTAAAAACCACTCTGTTTTTCTCTTTCTTTCCTTCTTTCACTCAAGAACATTTCTGGCCCTTGTTACTGTGGAGATTATCTAGCCTGGAACAATCAAAATTAAGTTAAAATAAAGGTAAAGGGACCCCTGACCATTAGGTCCAGTCATGACCGACTCTGGGGTTGCGGTGCTCATCTCGCTTTATTGGCCATGGGAGCCGGCATACAGCTCATGTGGTCATGTGGCCAGCATGACTAAGCCGCTTCTGGCGAATCAGAGCAGCGCACGAACACGCCGTTTACCTTCTGGCCGGAGCGGTACCTATTTATCTACTTGCACTTTGACGTGCTTTCGAACTGCTAGGTTGGCAGGAGCAGGGACTGAGCAACGGGAGCTCACCCCGTCGCAGGGATTCGAACCGCTGACCTTCTGATCGGCAAGTCCTAGGCTCTGTGGTTTAACCCACAGTGCCACCCACGTCCCTAAAGAGCACTAAGGAGCTGGCAAAAAACCCCAGCTCGGACATGGAGCTTCTAAAGCACAGATCTTTGCCTGGGAAGAGCAGGGCAAAAGGTTGGTGTGGAGTATGAAAAGCAGAACTTGCAGAGATCAGGGTGTGGGGCTTTGATTATATCTCCTCGTCCACTTCCCATGGCTAGCGGAAAAAGGTATGTAATGCAACCAAATGATGAGCAGATTTGCTTGCATTTATTCTGATCTCAGAATCGAAACGCAAGTTCATCTCAGTGGAGAATGTTTTTTTGCACTCTTGCGCACAAGGTAAACACAGTCCTGGCTAAAGAGGTGATGCAGATCTCCCTTGGCTTTGGAACAAAGACATACCTGGTAAAACTGGTATTGAAGACACTGCAACAGATCAGACTAAAAGGGGAGGGGAAAGAGGAAAGCAGAGATGTAGGTATCATGAAAAAGGCAAGGCTGTGTAATACTACTATCAGGGATCTCAGTAAGCCTCTGAATTTACCCACTAAGTTTTTAAGGAGCAGAATCCTAAAGGCTGCGTTTTCTACCTAGAATGAAAGAGTGGTGGTAATGGACGAGTAGGTTCAGGTTGAGACAGGTGATCCTACAGGCCTCAAAAGCTTGGGCTGTGATGGAGGCTGGTGGAGGCTCAAGTCTTCAATGAAAAGATTTCTTGACTGACAACACTGTGGGAGCCCTGCTAACTGACCCAGAAGGAAGCCTCAGCTCCTTAACTCTAAAGTGTGTGGGAGACAGGCTGAAAATTCAGTGCTGAGAGGAAGAGCACTCTATATATGTGATCAGCAGTAGTTTCCTTTACCATATATAAAAAGGGTAAAGGGACCCCTGACCATTAGGTCCAGTCGTGACCGACTCTGGGTTTGCTCATCTCGCTTTATTGGCCAAGGGAGCCGGCGTACAGCTTCCGGGTCATGTGGCCAGCATAGCTAAGCCGCTTCTGGCAAACCAGAGCAGTGCACGGAAACGCCGTTTACCTTCCTGCCGGAGCGGTACATATTTATCTACTTGCACTTTGACGTGCTTTCGAACTGCTAGGTTGTCAGGAGCAGGGACCGAGCAACGGGAGCTCACCCCATCGCGGGGCTCGAACCACCGACCTTCTGATCGGCAAGTCCTAGGCTCTGTGGTTTAACCCACAGCACCACCCGCGTCCCTTTACCACATATAGCTTCATATATATTTCTTTTTTAAAAGCGGAGGGGGATATCTATAGATGGGGTGGCAGCAACAATGTGGTCAAATGCATATGTTTTGAGGAGGGATGGGGCTATGAGACCAGCAGCATCTACAGTGGTATCTTGGATCTCAAACGCCGCGATACTCAAACACCTTGGTTCCCAAACATCAAATACCCGGAAGTAAGTGTTCCGGTTTTTGAATGTTTTTTGGAAGCTGAACATCTGATGCAGCTGTCAGTTATTATTTCCAGGGCATCTGCACCTATCAGAAACTGCACCTTGGTTTTCGAACTTTTCAAGTCAAACGGACTTCCGGAACGGATTAAGTTTGGCACTTTTGTTTTTGCTATTTATTTCGCGTTTTTGTTTTTGAGGCCTTTTTGGTTAATTTGTTTTTGTGACTGTGTGGAACCCAGTTCAGCTATTGATTGATTGATTGATTGATTGATTGCAGAAATGGATAAAAAAAACCCTATACAAACAATGACTATCATCAGTGCAGGTAAGAAAAAAATAATTCTAATTTTTATCATCTACAATGCTGTCTTGTTTATTTTATAGCACAGTATATTGATTATTGCTTTCATTTTATGGATCAGTGGTCTCATTAGAGAGTAAAATTCATGTTAAATTGCTGTTTAGGGGTTGTTTTTAAAAGTCCGGAATGGATTAATCCACTTTGCATTACTTTCTATGGGAAAGCGTGCCTTGGTTTTGGAACGCTTTGGTTTTGGAACAGACTTCCGAAACGGATTAAGTTTGAGAACCAAGGTACCACTGTACAAGAGGTTTCCTCCCCTGGATAGAAAATAGGCTGAAGCCCACTTATATGTCATCCCACAAAGACTAGCCATGGCTTCCCAGCTCATTAGCAAGCAGTGAAATACTGATATTCACAATAGTCGTGGATCATGCTCTGCGTGGGGGGTTTATGCTATTTCCTACACAGCAGCGCTGTAATGTCTGAAATGGCCGTAGAAGCACTTGCTTCCGATCCAAAGTAACTGCTCCCTCCTGAAAGCCATTTTTGATTGGGAGAGAGCCAGTCAGATGTAAACAGAGGCTAACAAAGGTATCTTGTGAACTCTGGTCAGCCGGGAGTTTAAAAAGTTTAAAATGCTGATGAGAGGAAGTGTCAAGCGAGAGAGATCATTTACACAGAGACAGGGATAATTTCAGGATTTGGGTAGCTGGAGAACTAGGACAGAGTTGATATCCTAATGGGGCACACCCTAAACCTGGATAGCTAGAATACAGAAAGCAGCTAGAGAAAAGAAGCTCAGATACTACTAGCACTGCCTGTTATACTCTCTGGGTGTAATTCAGCGATCGCTGCGTCAGCCTCCACTCACCTTGGCAATGGTGCTGGTCTCCTCCTTGTGTGGGCCATGATCCCCACCAAAGCCCGACTGCCCGACATTCTGTGCGCGAAGGCAACAGAAGAAAGCCTTGAAGATGTTCCGGCCGCGAGGCTTCTTCGGGGAGGATTTGGACACCAAGACTGAGAAGGGAATGACAAAAAGAACTTTGTTAGATCTCACGGCACTCGTCCAGGATCAAAACACAGGAGCAGGCAAATCTTCAGTCAGGGTAAGGGTTTGTGAATTAGGTCTCAGGAAGGTTGAAGCATGCCTCCTTCGGGAGATCCTGGGGGTGGCCCGTGAAGGAGGCAAGCTTCTTCGCTGGAACATTTTTTGATTGGCCCCAAAAAGTGACATGCAAGTTCTCCAAACCAGTGCAGGACAGAAAGGTGTGTGCTGCTTTGAGTAAGGTAAAGGTAAAGGGACCCCGACCATTAGGTCCAGTCGTGGCTGACTCTGGGGTTGCAGTGCTCATCTCGCTTTATTGGCCGAGGGAGCCAGCGTTAGCTTCCAGGTCATGTGGCCAGCATGACTAAGCCACCTCTGGCGAACCAGAGCAGCGCATGGAAACGGTGTTTACCTTCCCGCCGGAGTGGTACCTATTTATCTACTTGCACTTTGACGTGCTTTCAAACTGCTAGGTGGGCAAGAGCAGAGACCGAGCAATGGGAGCTCACCCCGTCACAGGGATTTGAACCGCCGACCTTCTGATCGGCAAGTCCTAGGCTCTGTGGCTTAACCCACAGCGCCACCCGCGTCCCTTCACTGCTTTGTCCACTGTCCACTGCTTTGAGTACCATCGTCCAATTAACAGGAACCTGCTAGGATAAAGGCCCTGGTTCAGAGGCACAGTAGCTGCCTTGCATGCAGAAGGCATTTCCTTGGCATCTCCAGGTAGGGATGAAAGAGACTTCTGTCAAACCTTGGAGAGTGGCTGCCAGCATCCTAGAGAAATGAACTGGGAATCTCATGCAACCGGACCCTAGCCAAATCTGCTCTCCCAAACTGTGTGGGCGACATTTAGCTACTGCAAACTTTACAAAATGATTCCACCAAAGACTGAACTGCAGAACAAAAGAAACAGCCTTTATTTAACACTATGGACTCACCTATACAACTGCAAATATGTAAGTGTTTTGTAAAGTGCAATATACAAATGGGACATTAGATGGCGATGGTGAGCTATGGCAAATTCAACATATTTTTCAAAACATTTTTAAAAAGTATTTTCACAGCATTTTTCATGTGTGTGTAGATTTCACCTATGAGACTCTTGCAACAGTGGCTGAACTCAAAATGGCTGCTGCCTGAGGAGGTTTCAGTTGCTGCAGGCGTTCCCCCAGAACCCACCCTCACAGAACACTTTAGCTTCTACCATCAGTACAGTCTGGGGTCAGGCCAGACAGGAGATAGCACACAAAGGAAACAGGATGTTCCATAATGCCCCCAGCAACTGGCAGGCAACATGAAGCCTCTGCATTGTCCAGGCCTAACATAAATTCACGGAACAGAGAAGCATCTTCTGCACACTGTAATTGTAATTGTAATTTATTATTTGTCACACATTAAAAACTTCCCTGAACAGGGTTGCCTTCAGATGTCTTCTAAATGTCAGGTAGCTGTTTATCTCTTTCACATCTGCATTTCTGGCTCCAGCTTTCTCAGCTCCAGTTCTAGCAATTGGTCTCAGGTACTTGGAGCTACCTGAGTGGGTGGCGCTGTGGGTTAAACCACAGAGCCTAGGACTTGCCGATCAGAAGGTTGGCGGTTCGAATCCCCGCAATGACGGGGTGAGCTCCCATTGCTCGGTCCCAGCTCCTGCCAACCTAGCAGTTCGAAAGCACGTCAAAGTGCATGTAGATAAATAGGTACAACTCCGGCGGGAAGGGAAACGGCGTTTCCATGCGCTGCTCTGGTTTGCCAGAAGCAGCTTAGTCATCCTGGCCACATGACCCGGAAGCTGTACGCCGGCTCCCTCGGCCAATAAAGCGAGATGAGCGCCGCAACCCCAGAGTCGGTCATGACTGGACCTAAAGGTCAGGGGTCCCTTTACCTTACTAGAAGAAGTAACCGTCTGGCCCTGCGATCTGCAGACCCCACAACTAGTGATCATTTTAAGCCAAGATTTCTCCCAGGACATACAAATTATGTGCTCTCCTGCCAAGCTATGGGACCCTTCTTCCTCCTCCCCTCTCGTCTGTTTTGCTTCCCTGGGAGACTCTGGGCCCAGAACATCTTATCATATTCTATGGGTCCATGGGGGCCTTGCTATCATTTGTTCTGCTTGCAACGAACAAAGTGGCCCCAGATGAACTGCCTTTGTCTTTTCTTGTGCGCCTACAAAGGACTACTGTTGCATCAGTGCAGCCCAGCTGGCATCCAGTGTCAGAACTGTACCTCCTCTATGCTAAAAACATTAAAATCCATCACCAATATAAGACTCAAATTCTGCAATTTGTTATGGTTTTAACACATGGATGTTAATGTGCTTGCTCTTATTCTGCATACTTTATTGAGCAAATTTTCACCTACTTTATTCTGGTTTTGCTAGCCATGGACAGGGATATTAATGCCCATTGACACCAGCTTTACCATGAGCCTGCAAGTTATACCTGAGGAGGCCTGGCTCAGCACGGCACCTGTCACAGGTAATATAAAGTACCACAGGGACAAAAGGTTGTAGGACTGAGGAGGATGTTTGCTGTGGCACAGAGTCCAAGAGAAGTTGCTGAAATGGGAGGTGAAGGAGGAGGAAGAGGAAACAGTGAAAATATCAGCACAGATGGACCCAAACCCAAGAATTGTGCAAAGCATCAAGGAAATTGGTTCTAAACAACCCCATCAGCTCAGTCCGGACAGTGAGATCCAGCTCCAAGGAACTTCTGGCAGTTCCCTCACTGCAAGAAGTAACGTTACAGGGAACCAGGCAGAGGTCTTCTCGGTGGTGGCACCTGCCCTGTGGAACACCTTCCCACCAGATGTCAAGGAAATAAACTATCTGACTTTTAGAAGCCATCTGAAGGCAGCCCTGTTTAGGGAAGTTTTTAATGATTGATGTTTTATTGTGTTTTTAATATTCTGTTGGGAGCCACCTAGAGTAGCTGGGGAAACCTAGCCAGATGGGTGGGGTATAAATAAATTATTATTACATTATTAGCACCTCATTATTAGCACCTACGCCAATTAGTGAAGCTGTCATGTAAGACCAATAATAAAGGTTTCACCAACTCACAACAAATGTAGATATAAAAATAGTAATGTCTCATTCACAGACATATCACCTTAAGTTCCACACTGCCTTGCTTCAGCTGCCCCTGACTATCACAGCTCAGCTGGAAACAAGGACTTGCACCCCCAAATTTGGAATCCCCACCAAATCTACATGCACCTGTACCAAATAAAAACATTACTCTTTGCCCAACCTAGACTGGAAAGCAGGAAGAAGACAGTAAAATGTCACTCCTCTCTCCCTCCTGGGTTGTGACCAGCTACACTCTAGAATTGCAAGTTCACTAGCCGGCAGTTCCTTTTGGATTACAGTGGTACCTCTGGTTGTGAACGGGATCCGTTCCGGAGGCCCATTCGCAATCTGAAAAGAACGCAACCCACGTCTGCGCGCGGAGGTCACGATTCGCCACTTCTGCACATGTGTGTGACGTCATTTTGCGCATCTGCGCATGCGCGAGTGGCAAAACCCAGAAGTAACCCTTTCCGGTATTTCCGGGTCGCCACAGGACACAACCTGAAAACGCGCAACCTGAAGCAAACGTAACATGAAGTATGACTGTACGGTAAGGTAAAGGTAAAGGGACCCCTGACCATTAGGTTCAGTCGTGGCCGACTCTGGGGTTGCGGCGCTCATCTCGCTTTTTGGCCGAGGGAGCCGGGTCATGTGGCCAGCATGACTAAGCCACTTCTGGTGAACCAGAGCAGCGCACGGAAACGCCGTTTACCTTCCCTGCCAGAGCGGTACCTATTTATCTACTTGCACTTTGACGTGCTTTTGATCTGCTAGGTTGGCAGGAGCTGGGACTGAGCAACGGGAGCTCACCTCATCGCGGGGATTCAAACCGCCAACCTTCTGATCGGCAATCCCTAGGCTCTGTGGTTTAACCCACAGCGCCACCTGCGCCCCATGAATGTATGGTACATAAGAACATATAAAGAGACCTGCTGGATCAGGCCAACTGCCCACCTAGTCCAGCATCCTGTTCTCATAGTAGCCAGGCAGATGCCTATGGGAAACTGTGTGCAATTGCGCTCACCTCACCTGCGGTTTCCAGCAACTGGTGTTCAGAAGCATTGCTGTCTCTGACTGTGGAGGTGGAGCATGGTCATCGCGGCTCATAGGCATGATTGCTCTGATCAACTCCTGCCCGGAAACCAATGTCCCCACTGTGGAAGGACGTGTGGATCCAGAATTGGCCTCCACAGTGACATACGGACTCATTGTTAAAACCGTGTTTATGGTTTGCAAAGTATTGGAAGACACAGGATTTACCCACACTGGAAGAATGGCAGATGAAAGTGATGGACTACATGGAATTGGCAGAAATGACTGGCAGAATCCGTGACCAGGGAGAAGAGTCGGTGGAAGAAGATTGGAAGAAATTTAAAGACTACTTGCAGAAATACTGTAAAATTAATGAATGTTAAATTGATGTTGCATTAAAATTAAGTGGTATTGGTAAAAAGATTATTAAGAATATGCAAATATGGAGTGATAATGGTTGAAAATACATAGTTATAATAGGTTTAAGATACTGAGTAAAGACAAATGATAGAGGGTAAGGATTTGCTGAAAGGATTTTTAAACGTGAATACAAAAGGGGAGGTGTGAGGAGGTCAAAGAAATAAGGAAATGAGCTGAAAGCTTATTGAAAGATGGATTTAACTTTTAATCTTTTTCCTTCCTTTTTTTTTTACTTAGCTATTAATTTCTTTTTCTCTTTTATATATCTTTATTATGTGTGTTTTTCTTTTTTAGTATGTTAAGTTTTGTTTTAAATGTTTTCTATTTTGTAAAACTCTACTTTGTAAACTTTTGTTTTGTGTAAACTTATGTTTTGTGTAAAACCTTAATAAATATCTCATAAAAAAAATAAAACCGTGTTTATGGAAGGCAATCTTACTCGGCTAC